AAACAAAATTGGTTAAAATTCATTTATTTAGTTATTTTAATGTCTGCTTTTAATTTTTCATCTCATGGTTCTCAAGATTTATATCCAACTTTATTAACTAATCAATTGGGTTATGGTAAAGATCGTTCCACTGTGACAAATTCAGTTGCAAATCTAGGTGCAATTGCAGGTGGTGTTATTATGGGTCATTTTTCAGGTTTTATTGGTCGTCGTTTTATTGTTGTTATTGGTTGTATTTGTGGTGGGGCAATGATTTATCCATGGGCATTTGTTAAAGGTTCAGGTATTAATGCTGGTGCATTTTGGTTACAATTTTTCGTTCAAGGTAATTGGGCAATTGTTCCAATTCATCTTTCTGAATTATCACCACCAGAATTTAAAGCTTTTGTCACTGGTGTTTCTTATCAATTGGGTAATTTAGCTTCAAGTGCTTCATCCACAATTGAAAGTACAATTGGTGAACGTTTCCCATTATATGATGAGTTTGGTAATAAAAGAGAACATGTTTATGATTATGCTACAGTTATGGCTATATTTATGGGTTGTGTCTTTGCATTTTTATTAGTTGTTATGTTATTAGGTCCAGAAAATAGAAATGGTAATATTAATTATGTTATGGATGAAGCTGAAAAGCAAGATTTAGCTGAACAAGGTAAAATTGTTACTTCAACTGAACATTATGAAGAAGGTACAACGGATCAAATGGGTACTTCTTCAGGTAATGAAGGTGAAAAACCAACAGCTCAACATAAAGAATGAGTTTTATACTTTTAATTGTTTAATTTATTGCTTTTTTTCCTCTAATTTTTTACGATAACTTTATATTCAAATGACGTTGTTGTAGTTTAATTCATATTTCCGATCTGCCAAACGCATCGTGACTCCAAAAAACCCATATAGACTTGAAGACTAGTCCATGAGAGATATACTACAAATACTTGTTTTTGGGTATCTATTATTAAATTCCTCTAATATATAAAAAAGTTTAAAATATAAAATCACAACCATTCATTTGTCCTTTCACTATAACCTTCACTTATATCCCTCTATTGTAAAGGTTTCATAACTTCTTCATATAATAATTTCTTCAATTCTTGCATATCTAAACCTTCATTATTTTCATTAAATTCCCAAAAACTTTCATCTATTGGAGCACAATCAGGTTCATCTTCAGGATCATGATATAATTGTAAATATGGATGATTTAAAGCATCAACAACTGAAATTCTCTTTTGAGGATTAAAAGTTAATAATTTTTCTAATAAATCAATAGCTAATGGATTTGTACCTTCTGGGAATAAAGTATTTAAAGGTATTTTTTTTCTAAATGGTAATGATCTAATATATTCTCTAGCTCTTTTAGATTTAATATTATAATAATCCTCCATTAATGGAGTTCCTAAAACTTCCATAATTAACCAAAGTTGATTATGATAATCACGACCTGGGAATAAAGGTTTACCTGATAACATTTCAGCCAAGATACAACCAACAGACCATACGTCTATAGCTGTTGTATATTCTTGGAAAGTTAGCATGATTTCAGGAGCTCTATACCATCTTGTTGCAACATATTCAGTCATGAAACCAAAATTATTTTCGCTTGAAGCTATTGATCTTGCTAATCCAAAATCACAAATTTTCAAATCACAATTTGAATTTAATAAAAGATTTGAAGGTTTTAAATCTCTATGTAAAACATTTGCAGAATGCATTGATTTTAAAGCCCGTAGAGTTTGATAAATAAAATATTGACAATGATCATCACTTAATCTTTGAGATTTTATAACACGATGTAAATCTGTTTCCATTAGTTCTTGAATCAAATAAACTTCATTGAAAGATTCAAAATTCAAAGGTTTTTGAATATCTAGAATAGATATGATGTTTTCATGATTATTAAAATGTTTTAATAATTTTAATTCTCTAAGAGTACGTAAACAAAACATTGGTTTTTCAAAAGGTAGAATCTTCTTTATAGCAACTTTTGTACCAGTTGGCTTATGTATAGCTGAGCAAACAACACCATAGGCACCTTCACCCACGATCTCTTGTATCTGATAATAATCAGACACGTTGAATGATATCTTTCTCTGAGTTTCCATTCTTTTAACAAGTAACCAAGACTAAATGAAGAGATAGATTATTAAACCAGCTAACAAACCACCCACACACCAGAGCACGAGTTGAGTTGCTCTATCACAGACAAGATGACTTCCAGATAGTGTAAGGCTAGCTTGATTTCCAAGTTTGTTTACTCAAATTCTCAACATTTCCACTTCAAACAATTCTGAAGCCAAAAGCCCAAAGAAAAAAACAAAAAAAAACACAATTGTTCAGGGCCACCGAAGTCGAAGATCAGCCTCAAAAAGAATTTCAATTTGGGAAGGTATAAAAAGGAATTGGAATTTGTGGTTTTTGGATTGATTTGAATGTTTTTATTAAGGGTTATAATGGCTATTAAAGAATCAGTTGTGTTCTTTCATAATGAGTTGAATATGTCGCTGTTGTTGGGCTCACGCTGGTTATGTCCCGATTGTCAGGTACGCTACATAGTGCTGGAAAACGGTGCCTGAATATCAATTTGAAGGGAGATGAGGTACCATAACCAGGAAAGGGAGTGGTGAGAGGATGAATCATTGGTAGATATACTCATTGGACAATTATGATATTGATGCTTATTATTCACAAGATGATGGTGATACTGGAGTTTGGAATGTTGGTGCTCGGTGTTTCGCGTTGTTTACATTTCAAGGTGTATAAGGTTGAACATTCAAGAAAGAAAGGGTCGCGAATGAAGAGTTCAACTTGGTGAATTATGATGTGTTGAACGGAAGAGTCAGGTTGCAATGGGCTGATTGGATTAGAAAAGATTATGCTAGAAAGTTGATGGTGAAGTTCCACAGAAAAGGGGTTGCTATTGGTATATTGATGGTGTAAATTAAGAAGAATACGATATCATGAGATAAGGTATGACTAGATCCAGTTTTAGCTCTGAATACTGCTGTTCATTCACACCTTTCCATAAATGCGTTGATTGGTGTATCAAGTTAACTGTCTTTTCAAACAATCATTGATATGGCCATCTTGAAAACTCAGATACTGCTCATTGATGATTAAATGGCTAGATCTTTGAGTATTACACTAGCTTTATTTGAGAGCTCTAGTTGATCATTATGTTTCAAGTCTCGGAAGAGAGATAATGGATTGTTGTTAACTTACAGAAAATGGCTACCAATATAGTTTCACTTCCAATTGCAATATCAGAAGATACACAGATAAAGACACATCTTCAATGAAAGGTTTAATACAAATTGTTCAAACCTGAAGCTTGATGATGATGTTGAAAGTGTTCAAACTTGTCTTTATCGACTATATCAACTAACCATATCAACTATATTAACCAACCATCAACTCCCATTCCACACAACAAACAACTGTAGACATCCAACACTCTCTCATACTCTCCTCACTCACTACCACTTAACCTCACCACAACCAACCTCTTCTTACCAAACCTTCTCTTCACCAATTCAACCAGCCAGCCATCGCCCACAACCACAATTTCATATTCGCGAATTCTCAGCCTTTTCATTTCCAAAGGGCAAAAAAAACCAAAATTCCTTAAAAACACAACGAAAACAAAGCATTGGGAACACAATACAAAGACATCAATCAAGGCTAGTTCATATTTCACTAGAATAATTCAATTGCTAGACTATTTCACACCATGAGCTTCAACCACACTTTCTTCTGGTGAGTAATTATCTCCTTTGTTTATGAGGAAAAGGGTTGGATTGGATAAGTTGCGGCGGCGAACAAGAAGGGGAGGGTTCTGTTTTCATTTGCTGTTGAATAGTTGGTTTCTTCTCAATGATGGAACCCAATATAAATCCAACCTATACTCAATGAGTATCCTGTGCTTGAATTGATACTAACTATTCTGTTGATAGGCCAAAAGGTCCTTCTGAAGTGATATTAACTGGTACTTTTGATAATTGGTCCGGTTCATTACCATTAGTTAAAACATCCAAGGGTGATTTTGAAATCACATTACCTTTGAAACAAGAAGATGATGATAAAATCTTGTTCAAATTCATTGTTGATGGTAATTGGACCACAAGTAAAGATTATGAAACTATTAATGATAATGGTAATGAAAACAATGTTTTATATTTAAAGAATTTATCACAAGTTGAAGAATCTAAATCATCTGGTGGTTCTAAAATCCCAGAAGCTGGTGGATTGGCTGCTGGTGGATTAGCTGCGGCTGGTGCTGCCGTTGCAGGAGTTTTAGGCTTAAACTCTACAAGTAGTGATAAAGAAAACACTGAATCATCAAAGGACTATAAACCTACTGTCTTACCATCAAATGAAGGTAATCATGCTTCAGTTGCAGGTGAACCAGGTGTTGCAATTCCTTCAGATCCTCATCAAATCAAAGAGTTCAGTGAAGTTAGAGATGTTGATGCCAAAGAATTGAATGCTAAATTGAATAAAGAAGATGAATTCAAGACTCAAGTGTTACCATCTCAAGAAGGTGAACAATCCAATGTCTCTGGTGAACCAGGTATTGCTATTCCAAAAGATGCTGGAAACATTAAGGAATTTGGTGAAGTTAGAAATGTTGATGCAAAAGACTTAAATGCTAAATTAAACAAGGAAGATGAAGTGAAGACTCAAGTTTTACCTTCGAATGAAGGAAACCATGCCACAGTTGCTGGTGAACCTGGTGTTGCCGTTCCAAAAGATGCTCAAAACATTAAAGAATTTGGTGAAGTTAGAGATGTTGATGCTAAAGCATTAAATGAAAAACTTGGTGGTGAAGGTTCAACAAAAGCAGCAGCTGCAACTTCAACTGAATCACCTGAAAAAAAGACTAAAAAAGTTCCAGTCAAGAAATTGATTAGAAGAAATAAAGAAACCGGTGAAGAAGTTGTTGTATCAAGTGAACCTGTTGATCATGTTCCAAAAGATCAAAACATCTCTACAAATGGTGCTGAAACTAAAGATACCATCAAACCAACTGAAGAGAAAACTCTTGATCCTAAAAAGTCAAGTGCTGAAACTAATGGAAAGACTACTAAAGACACTGCAACAAAGACTACAGAAGAGAAACCAAAAACAGCAAGTACTTCCACTACCGCTGCTTCTAAACCAAAACCAAAACCAAAACCAGCTGCTGCTGTCGCTGCTGAAAAGAAGGAA